TCCGTCACTAATGAATCACTTTTCATTGAAACGTGTATAATCACTGGTAGTGAGTCTTAATATTACCCATCACTAACACAGATCACGTTTTCTGAATCGTATATAGTCACTGGTGGTGAGTTTTAATACTACCTATCACAAACATAGATCTCGTTTTCTGAACCGTATATAACCACTGGTAGTGAGTGTTAATATTACCCATCACTAACATAGATCCCGTTTTCTGAACCGTATATAACCACTGGTAGTGAGTCTTAATATTACTCATTACTAAATTTGATCTATTTGCAAAAGAAAACAGAGAAAGGAATTATTTTAACATTATCTATTAGGTTGTAAAAAATGATTCTGTAACTGGATGAAATTCAACATTCTCAATAACAGCACCTAAGAAAAAATAATACTTAAACTAGGAAGTTTTGAGGTGGTTAAATTACGTCAATTTTCTGATACAGAGTTTGCTCAGGAATAAGGCAGAAGCTACGAAATGTTGTCGCTGATCCAGCTCACAGTGACGCAATTCACAAACGTTTGAATGTATTTTCAGATAGCATCGCTGATCCAGCTCACGGTGACGCAATTCACAAACGTTTGAATGTATTGTCAGATAGCAAATACTTGTTGTTGAATAATTTTACTGGCTTGTTTCGGTAAAAGAAGTGATTATTACCTATGGGGGAAGATACCAGTATTACCTGATCACAAATCCTAATTGTGCTGGATATACCATTGGTAAAATTGCGCTATTTCAAAGGAATCGGCAGTTATATATTTTACTTTAATATTTATGAGATTGAATAAAACTGAAAAACGAATATATGCATGATAAGAAAGAAATTTTATTTAGTCAGTAATCATTCTGTTATTTCAACTAAATGAGCGTTTAACATGTTTGATATCTATTATCAAACCTACTCTTCTGTAACTAGTTCTATCGTATCAAAATGTGTATGTTTTTAAGAGTTTAGTTATCTTTAAACATCCCATATTGACCGCTCCAAACCAGCATTTAAGTAATGAATCACCTGTCTAATTACCACCAATACTTGAGTGTACTTCTGTTCTTATACGTTTGTTGGACTTTAGTAATAAGAAATCTGCTCTTCTCGGTCGTTAACCTAGCCTTCTTATGGGAATACACATCCATCTGTTTTCTTTTTTTCTAGGTTTTATACTGGAACTGAACAGGATTATTTTGTAAGTTGTGTGTGAACTGTGTGAAGCTGTCTTAGAGTTTTGTACTTTCCCAGTTTTATTGAAGGAATTGGTTTGAAATGGTCCTAATCTATAATTTCAAAGTTAGGAACAGCTAGCGCAAATAGCCCTCGAGTAGTTTTGCGCGAAAATTCAACAAACAGCTTAGGTTTGAAGCTCGTCATGATCTGTGAAACGTTAAGTTATTCATTAGCAGTCACTTTATTTTGTTTGATTAATGGTTAAATATTCTAAAATTATAGTTATTGTCTATATGATAGTTTTGTACAAGTGTTGATTTCGTTACTAACGAAGAGACTACAGGTAAACTATAATAACAATAACCAGATGACCGAAGGATTTGTCCTGCAGGTAAAATTCAGAGAAAGGTGAAATTTAACTAACGGATGTCATGAAAGATTAGTGAAAAGTGAAACGTTTTAAATACAAACAAATAAAGGCGCAAAGAATAGCTCAAGAGTCATAATTCGTAAAAGACACAAAACAACACAAACAAACACGATTTGTATAGAGTTCTGTGGTGAGTCGTAAGAACGTAGTTTAAACTATGTATTTGCCGAGTTCTGTGATGGGTCCAAGGTACGCAGTTCAAACTATTTACAGAGTTCTGTAGTTGGTTATAGGTATACAGATCAAATTATCTACAGAATTCTATGGTGGGTCCTAAGTACGTAGTTCAAACTATCTACAGAGTTCTGTGATGGGTCCTAGTTACACAGTTCAAGCTATTTACAGAGTTCTGTAGTTGGTTATAGGTATACAAATCAAATTACCTACAGAATTCT